GCCGATGCCTCCGTCGCCTGGCTGGAGTGGCCGCGGGGGAGTCTGGAGTCGGGCGGCCGCTGGTGGGAGCCGCGGGTGCCCGGGCCGAGATTGGGGGGGCAAGGCGGGCGACAGAAGGCCGATGCCTCCGTCGCCCGGCCCTCTACAGAATCCACCCCCCAAACCTCCAGGTATTTCCCTCCTTAGAGCTGGCAACCCTACATTCCCCTCAGTGCCTGTTGGTAGGCAACTAAGCTTGGTCCTGTCACCTACTTTGGCCTTTGGGAGAAAACACATTGGGGCCAATCCTGATAGGGTTGCCAACTCCAGATGGGAAATTCCTGGAGGTTTGAGGGATGGAGCCTGAAGAGGGTGAGGTTTGAGGAGGGGTGGGACCTCAGACAGGTACACTGCCATAGACTCCACCCTCCAAACCAGTCAGTCTCACATAGGGAACCATTGTTGCCAATCTCCAGGTGAGGGCTGGAGAGCACTCAGTATTACAACTGCTCTGCAGAAGGGAGGGCAGAAGTCAGCTGAAGTCAAAGGGGCAGATAATGGTAGGTTGGTGGCTAGCTGGGAAGGAGATGGGGTTGCCAACTACATGCTGACAAATTCCTGGGGATTTGAGGGGTGGAGCCTGGAGAGGGTGGGGTTTGCAGAGGGGTGGGACCTCAGACAGGTAGAATGCCATAGACTACACCCTCCAAACCAGCCATTTTGTCCTGGGTAACAATTGTTGCCAATCTCCAGGTGAGGGCTACAGATTACTCACAATTACAACTGCTCTTCAGGTAGCAGAGATCAGTTCCTCTGGAGAAAACAGTGGACTCTGTCATTATACCCTGCTGAGGTCACCACAGCAAATTGACACTGTTTGCCCAAAGCCAGAGCACTGCCCCAGAGCCTCTTTCTAGATCCCGTTGTATTGCTTTCACAACGGGCTTTACTGCTAGTATGTGAAATATTTCATGAATATTATGAATCAGTGAAGTATAGTAATTTATCATGGTTTTGTATCTATTTTTGTCTCTGTGTTCCATGGTTCTCTCTCTTTTTATACTTCAAATATATTAGTCCTGGTTTCTTTCCATACCGCAGCTCAAATGGCATTTCCCCTGTGACCTTTGATGGAATTCTGTTGTGCAAATAAACGACTGTATTTCCTGTTTCTGCACAGCAGTGGTCAGGCAGACTAGCTTGCAAGAGCAGATAGTGCACAATTTCTAGAAGGCTCCAGTTAAGCCATTGAATGGAGGCATTTTGCCGAGGAGAATAAGGCACAGTTCTATTGTGCTCTATCCCTTCCTCTTCCAGGAACCTTTGGACCTCAGTGCCACAATGCTCCATCCCATTGTCTGTAAACAGGACCTCTGGAGCCTTATTAAATCTATTTCTCACAGCAGAAATATAGTTCTAAAAGTTCCCCAGTACATTATCCTTGGATCTTATCAGATACACACATACAAAATGACTTGCTGCATCCATAAAAGTCAAAATGTACTTATTTCCTCCAGTTGAAAGCCTTAAGGGACCAACTAGGTCTGAATAGACTCTTTGCAACAGCCTCTCATTGTGCACACCCTACTGTTTGCTGTAGTTAGGTGCTCTGCCTTTTAGTTTAAAGCAGATTTCATAACAACCCTGCATTTGGTCACATTCAGTCATTTCAATATGACACTCCTGCAATAATTTTTCCACAGACTTAGGACTTCTATTCCCCAATCTCTGGTGCCATGCTAACACACAATTAGTATGGAGACATTTCTTTGGCCTCATATTACACTGATTCAGCATCTGATTTTAAGTAGTAAAAACAACTATTCTTCTCCGCCAGTATTTCAACATTGCCTTCAGGATGAAAGATCCTACATACATTGTCTTCAATGAGGAAACGGTTTCCCTGTTTCACAATCCTATCAACTGACAGCAAATTCTGATCAGCCTGTGGTACAAAAACACAATCCTTTAAAAGAACTTCAATCAATTCTCTTTTGGTACTGAAAATTCTTAGTTTTGCAATTTCAGCTCCTTGACTAGGCAATGGACTTCCACCAGCTTGGATTAAAGTTTGCCTTCAACCTTCATTTAATTCCACAAAACAATTTTTATCATGACAGACATGTGCATAGGATCCAGACTCTACCAACCAAAAATCCTTTACATTTCATTCTTTTCGAGACACAGCATATGTAAAACACTTAGAAGCTTTCCTCTCTCCTCTCCTATCTCTTTTACTCTGCTCTGTCTTTTTGCTTGAAGCAGCATTCTGAGTGGAAACGTGTGCATTCCTTTCTCTTTGTTCCATATTCACTTTAGTTCTACAAAACTTTGCTACATGACCTCACTTCTTGCAGTTAAAACATACAACACTTTCTTTTTCATGCTTTAATTTCAAAGCAGATATCCCTCCTGCAATTCCTGAAACAAATATCTCTATAGTCTCGTCTCTGAGAAAACTCAGCGTATAAGAAATGTCTACCTTGGCCCCGGTCACACGGAGGATTTGCCGCACTAAAGGCACGAATGTCAGGCGGATTTTCGGGGCACAATCACACCACAACATCTGGGAAGCGTAGTGCACCTGTGGCCAACCCGTGGCATCCCGCCAATGATGGGCAGTAAAAAAGTACCTTGGAAAGTGCACTAGTATCCAGAAAACACGGGGCAGGGGCGAGCGTCTCATCGCGGGAGCACTAGTATCCTGTGGCATCCGGGGCCCATCCACATCCTGTCGCAAACCGGATGTTTTTTATAAGTGCATGTGCACAAACACATATCTGAAAGCAGTGCTGCTCTGCGAAACTGCGCATGCGCACAAACGCAAAACGCTTACCGCACTGCTTCTTTGCCATTCTCCAGCATTGCCGTGTAATCACCAGCTAACAGCCTAAGTGTGAAGACTCAGGGGACCGTGTGATCGGGCTCCCGTGCTTTATTTTGCTCCAGGGCAAACAGCCATGCCTTCCCCCCGCGCTATCTGACCTGTGTGACTGGGGCCTTTGTCTCTTGACTCCAGAATGGCAATTTGATTAGCATAGGAACTGGGAAAACTATTCAGAATAGTGACATCCTCTCGATTCCTGCAGCTTGTAACTCTGAAACAAGGTGCATAATGCCATCTAAATGTGCACACACATAACCTCCTTCATGTAGCCTAATATTATACAATTTCCTTCTTAAAAACTGCACGTTTTTCTGTACCAATTTGTCTCAAATCTATTTTGCAGTTTTACAGCTGGATACCAGAGAGGTTTCTTCATCAGAGATAAAATTTAGAATTATGAAACATGCTTTCATATCAACATTTTACATTTTCCCCCTTGCTCTCCCACACTTTGGGGAGGATCGTTCTCAATGGCATGCATACCTTCCTGGATTCCCAAAGCACATCCCACTCTAAACTTCCATATTAGGTCATTTTGGCCATTTGATTTTGGAATGTGTGAGAGGGAGGGGTTTGATTGTTCACTTATGGATTGTGATGCTGACTGGGGAGCTGTTCTATTTTGATTGCATCATTTCTATTGGCGGACATGGCCTCTGGCTTGTGTGAGCTGGTTTGAAGGTTCTTTTATCAGCAGACACACTTGGCTCTCTCCTTCCTTGTCAGACTGCAGACAAAATGAGACAATCTCTCAGCTGTTTGCATTTCTAAAGCTCTAGTGTGAGATCTCTTTGTTTGTAATCCAACAGGGTTTGGAAAAATAATATCTGCAAAAACCAAAAAGTTGATCTTGCTCAAAAAAATCTTTCTGCTCTCTGATGCTACCAAGCTAATACACACATATAGTCCTTGACAGAAAGTTCTCTCTCTTACCCCCTTCCTGATTCTTCAAACTTCCCCATTCTCTCCCATATACATATTCTCCTATACAGGAGAAGTGTGCTGGTGCCCATAACCCTTTGTTGGATACTTTTTGCAGAGTAAATATACTAAGTGGAATAAAAGCAATGCAGCACATGTATGTAATTAGCTTTAAGAAAGGTTTACTAGAAAATAGGGATGGGTTACATGGAGTTAAAAATAATAACAAAGTCCTGATGAGGTTCCTAGTTCTATACCTTGCTTGTTTGTTTGCTAAAACTCATGTGTGTGTGTTGGAACAAAGGGAGAGAAAGTTTAAATGCTGTGCTTTAATTCTGTATTATTTATGTTTTTATTCTGTATTGTTGTGTTTGTTGGAAGCCGCCCTGAGACTACTTTGCATGGAGGGTGGGCTATAAATGTGACTATAAATAAATAAATAAATATTTACCCCCAAAGTCCCGGGATCCGGTTCTGTTGCGGCACTGCGACGAGCGGTTTTTTCGGGAGCTCCCGAGCTGCCCGATTTTCTGATGTTCTTTTGAAGCCTCCCGGGTTCCGAGAGGGCTTCACTGGGTCTCTTGGAGGGAGACCAAGATGCAGGAGCTTGGTCGCCCCCCACCCCCTGTGTTCTTGGCAAGAATGGGGAGTGAAGCCGATGTGCCTCGAAGCGGGAGCATCAGAAGAGCAGGGACATGGACGCCATGTTCCCTGATTAGCAGCAGCCAGCCTTTTACTTTAAACATTTTTGTTTAAGCGATTGGATGTTTCACATTGAAAAGATTATCTGTTGCTGACCCAGGTCAAGGAAGAGAGTGAATGGTTATACCCCCGGTGGATTTTCCTTGTTATATGGACAGACGGCCGTAATAATGTGTTTGGGAGAGAATGGTGAAATTTGAAGAATCAGGAAGGGGGTAAGAGAGAGAACTTTCTATCAAGGACTATTATTGTTATTATTATTTCTGTTTGAAGAGTTTTGTTCATAAGTAAACCCCAGGAAATGCAAGTTTGTTTAAAGTTTTCGTATGCTGAGGTGTTGGAGTGAGGGGGAAAAATGGAGGCAGTGGACGCTATTGAGGAGGCTGAGCAAGATACCAAAGCTCGTGATCCCGTGTGGGAACAATTCCAAAAAAACCTGTTAAAAGAAGTGAGCCTAGTATTTAAATTGGCTTGTGAAAATGTCCTTTAAAATCTTCATAGTTTAAATGCAGAGGAGGAGGAGAATAAGAAGCAAATGCAAGGATTGCAATGGCAGGCTGAAGTAAAGGAAACAGAACAGGAAAGAGACTCAGATGTTACTCAACTATTAAAAATAGAAGAGGAGATACAGAAGGTGGAAGTCCCAAAGTGTGGGTTGGAGTTCCAAGGAAAGTTGAAATTACGAAGAGGGGAAAAATGTTCGCTAAAACCCCCTCGAGGGAAAGGACATTTGGAAGAAAATGCAAAAAATCAAGATAAAAAAGAACTGGAATTTAGTGTTTTTGTAATGATGGTTGACTATTTTATGTGATTTAATAATCTTCCCTGGCTTATAGAGGTTTATTGATGTTTGGTATACAAAAAGATGGCTGTGAGGGTAGAGTATGAATTTAAAATTGGTATTTGACCCCTCACTATAAGTAAATGATAAATGAAATTCTTGGCTGAAACAAAAAGTAGTATTATTAGTTAATGTTGCTTAAGATTAATGTGTTGGATATTATATTATAATTTGGTTTGGGAATTTATGTCCAGGAGTAGATTGAGGATTGCAAAGAAATGGATAGAGAATAAACCCAAAGTTTGTGCCTATGTAATTGGAAGTGAAATTCATTGAAAGTAACAGAGGTATTATTATGATTTAGATGGTTTAAAATTAGTGTGTATATTATATTATTATATAAATTACATTTGTTATGGAAGTTAAATTGGGGATTAGAGCATTAGGCAGTAATTAGGATTGATTAAGAAGTAATTTCGTGGGTGTAGTAGTGGGAAATTGTATGTAGGTTGTTGTTAGAACACACTGGTTTGTTACTCCGCCCTGTATTGAGAATGAAAGGTGATGATCATAGTGTTTAAGATTAATACTCAGGTCATCTTGTTTTATTACTTAATTTTGGTATGGTATTTATACTTTGGATTAGAGTGAAATAATGATGGTATAATGATGAAAATGAATTTAATGGGAAGTGTGATTAATTAGGTGACTATTTTTGCTGAAGATATCAAATTAGAATGATTGAATATAAGAAATTTAAATAGATAAAATAGGGGTTGATATATTTATAAAATATTAGGTTATAAGGAATTATGGCAGAAAAATAGAGAGGCAAGATTGAGTCAGATTAGAATATTTGGTAAAGATTCTGGGGAATGCAACAAATATTATGGGTAAAAGATTAGAGAGAACATATATTTATGTATAACTAAGCCATTTGATCAATGTGAAGTGTCGAGAATCCAGTTGTTGTGTGAATCTATGTTTTGTTGTTGTCTTGTATGTATGTATGTTTGTTAAGCATAAAAACCAAATAAATACATGTTAAAAAAAATATTTACCCCCAAAGTCCCCACCTTTTATGTTCATGAAAAACAACATATAGCATCCTCAATATACTGATCAGCTAATAGTAGCTCCCAAACTTATCTCATTAGGAATAACACCTCCTTTTCTCTGGTGGGAAATATTAGTTAACTAGCTAAGAATTAGCATAAATAAACAGTTTAACTCTTTCATGACTGAAGTGTTGAGAGAACCCCCTTCAAATGATCAATTTTGAATTAACCAATGAATATGTGAAATTCTTCTGCATCTCGAGTCAAGTGTTCACATTAAAGCGGGAAGGGAAGGAAATCTAGGAGATAGCTGCCTGATCCAATAGGAAAGCAAGAGAAATGAAATACACTTACAGCATAAGTGATGCTACCTACAAATGTTAGGATATACTCAATAGCATCTAGCAGCTTGTGGAATTCTTTATCTTCAGCAGAAAACCGGTGTCCAAAAGCCACAGCAGAGATCACATTGCAAACAGAATTAGTGATGGGCACTGATGGGTCAAATGGCTGCCCTGGAAATAAAGTTGATTGTGAAATATTAATATTCCCCCCTTCTGTGAATACTCAGTGGGTTTCATAGTGGAGTTAGCACACACACACACACACACACACAGAGAGAGAGAGAGAGAGAGAGAGAGAGAGAGAGAGAGAGAGAGAGGACTTTGCAATCTTGGAAGCTGTTTATGTATTAGAAAATAGTTAAAATGCACCAAGGTGTTTTCCAAAATGTACAATATGTACAAATATCTCCCCATGTCCAATCTCAGCAGTTTTATTAAAGGTCATTTTGAGAAGGCATCCAGAACTCCAAGGTCTTTATTTCTTCCTTTGAAATCATTACTTGTGTGCTAGGAAGAGATTTTTTTACATTCTAGAGCCATGCTTCCAGTGAAATTTGTTGAGAACAATGTAATGCACATTCTTGGACCACATCCATTCAACTATATTTTGTAAGCGGTTGCTTCCATATGGAGTCTGTTTCCACAGCTAATTTTGTTTTCTAAGGTTAGACCAGACCCTCAGGGGTGGGGCATTTTCAATACTAGGGGGGTGAACTGCCAATTTTTTAAGCTATTGTAGATTTTTCGGGTTGTATGGCTGTGGTCTTGGCATTGTAGGACCTGACATTTCACCAGTAGCTGTGACTGGCACCCTCAGAGGAATCAACAACAAGGACCCGGCAACTCAAGAGGATGAAATAAGACAAAAAAGTTGCCCAACAAGTTCAATATACTTATGCAAATATTGGTAATTTAATACATGTTCTTTTTTGTTGCACATCCAGACGAACTTGCTCGAGAGTTTAGCCGTTCGTTTCGACCAGAGTCTTTGTCACATCTCAGTTTGTAGTCATTCTTTCTGTTCACAAAGTCAATTCACAAGTGGCTGAACACAGCTCCCAACTAATATTAGAATTTTCAGATAACTTGTTGGGCAACTTTTTTGTCTTATTTCACCCTCAGAGGAATAACACAGAAAGATGGCATACTTTCTGTGTCAAGGTGAGAAGAAAAATTGTAGGGAGGTGTATAGAAATATTGATTTCTAAAAGCCCCTGTCTTCCCCTGGGATGTCTTGCTGATAGCCTGCTGTGCCTTGTTTCCTGTTGAAGCCATATGGCCTCACATTTGGCCGAAGAAACTTTATAGCCCTGCCATATAACCACACATTCTTCACACTTCCATGCTGGAAGCTAGGCCAGCGTGCAAAAAGTCACGTAGCCAATGGGGAGACTGGAGTTTGGAGTCACCTGACTGCAGAGGGGGTCTGCAAATGTCCAGCCTATCCCCACTTGCACCCATGACAACCAACAAATTGGACACACCCTGCCCACTCGCAGTTGGCTGCCTGGCCACAGCTGATTGTGACTGGAATGGGCCTATAACTGGTCATTCCCAATGGGAGAGAGCTCTGTTCTCTTTCGGTTCTCTCTGCTGCTCTTGTTCCTGTTCATGAGCTCTCTGCTTCCTGCTTATTTTATTGCACCTGGACATGTGGTCTGTGGGAGAACAAAGAACTGCTTGGTAACTGGAGCACATGGTGTGCAAAAATGGGCTTTCCCTTCAAGATCCCCTGGACCCCTGGACTGTAGATGTTCCTGACATGGTAAATATGAAGCATTAATGTTCAGTTAAGGCAAACTGCCTTAGGGTTGTTATTTTGAAATCTTTATGGTCTAATTGCAATGCTCTGTGTTGAATAAAAACTTATTCTTGTTTCTAACTTGTGTTTGATGTTGTAACTGGGATTCCTAGTCTATTTCCTGTGCCTAAACGCTGACCACACAGCGCTACCACTGTGATAGTAATTGTAAAGTCTCAGAGGCTAGCTAAGAGTCTGAACCTTGCTCTTAGGCTGGGAGGGGACTCTAGTTAAAAGAGGTTCTGGTGGCTTATTGTTCTGAAATCCAGAGAGGGTAGCCTACCTCTCTGGGTTGTTGTGTAATGTGATTGTAAAAGTATAGAATTCCCTCTCATTCCCGGACAAGCTTGTGTGGGATAAATTCCTATACAGCAGGTAATTTATATCTACTCAGGAAGGTGGGGTAGGGCTGAGTCATTATCTTGTAGGAGTTCCCCAGGCTGTGAACATGCTAATGGCGGAGCTTTCCTGAGGAGGCTCTTTTGTATATTTTTCTTCGACAACATATTGCCAATTTTTTTTTGTTTTAATTTAGTTGTAGTATTTCAGAAAGGGAACATTTACCAATATCCTGAAATCCTGGGAGAACTTATGCTATTTTGGGACTCCATTTTGGGTAAGTTTTATATTTCAGGAATATTGTGTTCCAGTAAATGTAGCCTCCTTCTGGAGACCAGTTCTACTACCAATGGTTTCTTTAAAAAAAAACATATTTATTGGTTTCCACAAATCGTGACATACAAACAAAGACACCAACAAGCATACACCTAGTTCACCAATTTTTTTTGAGCACTTCAAACCTCATACCAAGACAGTACATTACTCCCATATCTGTTTTTATCCCCATAATATTACAACTCACGTAATTCCCCAATTATATCTATAAATTTTCAACATTTCAAACTCATAGTAATTATTTTCTTTACATATTAAGATTATTTCTTTACTATGGAGCTGTTATAATTATCCAAAGTATTTAAGTTTCATTTAGAGTTTAAGCAAAGTTTAAATCTATATCCTATTACTAGAACTTAGGTTAATCTTATATCCAAATACCCAAATTTAATTCCATTTTCATCCCTAAATGACGCAATTATACCTTTGTACCCACACAATTCAGCTCATTCATGTCAAGGCTTAGACAGGAATATACTTAAACAAAATGAGTCAATAATAAAACCCCAAATAATAAATCAAAATTCCATAAATTGGGATATTACCTACCACTAAATTATAATCCCAGCTATATTCAATGTACAAGTTATAATAATCGACAAGGTAGGGATTTCTATAACCATTCTATAACCATTCCCTTCCCAACTCATATCCTTATTAATCCACTGAATTCATATTAAATACTAATATATCAGAGTGCCATATACAGACAGAAAAAAATAATAGTAATAATAATAAAAAGAATATAACTTTCCATAGTGAAATGCAGAAGATACTACAATGCTCTTTTAAAAAAGCACCGGAAATTCTGCTTTTGGGACTAAAAATGGAAGAAGTCAATGTAGAAAAAAAAACCTTATTCTGGTACTTAATAACGACAGCAAGAATGCTATATGCACAATATTGGAAACTTGAAAAAGTACCAGAAATTGAGGACTGGATACATAAAGTTCTGTTCATGGCAGAAATGGACAAAATTACTAAGAAATTGAACAACAAAGAAGACGAAGAATTTTTTGAAGAATGGAAGGACTTTAAGAACTATCTGGAAAAGAACTGGGATGTGACAAAAAATTTACTGTGTTTAGAACAATACTAAGCAAAAAGATGTTATTTTTTAAAGTGATTAGAAATATGATATTAGCAACTGATGAAATATATATAAGTAAGGGGAAGGGGGTGAAAGCATTGTGGGAAGCCACAGGAGGGGGGAAGGTGTATGGATTGTAGGGTAAGTAATCGTTTATTTACGTTTCTTTTTAAAGTTATAACGGATAAATGTTGAATACCTACGACTGGAAAATAATAAAATTTTGTTTACCAAAAAAAAAAAGAATATAACTTTCAGCCTTATCATGATCTCTAGTACATCTTCAAATTACTTTTTGGGACAACATATATTATAAATTGCTCATCCTTAGCCATTTCCTTTTTCACAGCCATTATTTCAACAAGGAGAAATATCCTATGCACACACAAAATTCTTGGCCACATTTATTCCCGTATCTTTCTGATGTCATCTTCTTTTTCTGGATCTCTTTTCAATGCCTAATGTCTTTAAATGCTTGTCTTCTCAGATCCCAGCTTTCCCTTTTCTGTTTCCATAAACCAATTACTTTTCTTTTACGTTTTTTAAAGTTTTTCTCATCATCTCTTGAATTCTTCTTGCTTCTTTTTATTTTTATTTTTCACTAGGGCAGTTAAGGTAGATCCTTTTTTCATTTCTATTATTACATGATAGTCTCTATGGGTCTCCATCTTCTGGCCCAAATTTTGTGTGATTGGAGATTGCTTATTTGGAAGATCTCTCTCCTGGCCATAGTCTTGATGTTCAACCAATATAAAGAGAATCTTGTTTCAAGTCCTCCTCGTCTACATTTGCCAAGTCAGTTTGTAAGTCCCGAGATTCTTTAAACAGGTTTTTGCATGCTGTTGTCACTGCTTCTTTGATTGTAACTGTCAAAAACCTTTTAAATTGCTCGTAAGTAAGCTCTCCTATTTGTATATCCAGGTCAAATTATTCCTCTTCTCCTGCCGCCGCCATTTTAAGTCTTTCACCCAAACAGGCTACCACACCTTCACCTATTTTTTCCTAGAATTCCATCTCCGTGGTAATCTGTTTTTCAGCTATTAAGGCTTTTTCACTTGTCTTGTTCTTGTCCTACAGCTCTCTTTCTTCTTGCCCTCGCCTCTTTGAAAATTCTCATTCATTCATAGCCCCAATCTGTCCATAGCCGCTCTCCCAACACTTTATGGGGCAATTAAAGGAAGGGGGGGTTTTACCTCGAAGTATAGCTTTGTATGAAAATACGTGAAAAGGAAAAAAAACCTCTTGAGGGCGATGTGTTACTTACATCCAAATGAAATAAAGATAAAAAACGGTTGGTCGCTGCTATGGAGCCATTAACATGACTCCTCCGAACCTTGTCCCGGCTTCGGGGCATGGCATTGAGACCCCCACGATTGCCATCAGCAGAGATGCCAAGCAAAGCCCCCTGCCACTCCGTCTCCCTCCAGGAAATGGAGCGGAGCCCTCCCGAACTTCAAGAGACTCCCAAAAGAACAAGGTGGAAACGAGCGTCCCCGGAGCAATCCAAGGCACGCCCGTTCGCAGCGCCGTTCTGCACAGACTCCCATACTACCAATGGTTTCAGTGGGTTGTAAACCTGGCATCTGAACTCCAGATTCTAGGTCT